AGCGCAACCACCAGCACAACCACGAGCACAACCGCCAGCACAACCACCACGAACACCACGACACCAGCACGACAACCAGCACAGCCACCACCAGCACAACCACCACCAGCGCAACCAGCACGAGCACCAGCAGTATCACAACCACCAGCCTAACTACCACCAGCCCAACCACAAGCGCAACCACACCACCAGCACAACCACCGCCAGCACGACCACATCGAGCGCAACCGCTAGCACAACCACCAGCAGCACAACCACCACCAGCACAAACACCAACACAACTACCAACCAGCACAACCACAATCAGCACAACCAGCACTAGCACAACCACCATCGCAACCACCAGACCACCAGCACAACCACCATCAGCAACATACCACCACCAGCACAACCACCATCACAACCACCAGCACAACCACCACCAGCACAACCACCACCAGCACAACCATCACAAACACAACCACCAGCGGCACAACCACCACCAGCACAGCCACCAGCGCAACCACCAGCACAACCACCAGCACAACCACAAGCGCAACCACCACCAGCACAACCACCACAAGCACGACCACATCGAGCGCAACCACCAGCACGACCAGGATGGGAGGGGAATGGCCCCCTACGAAAACCTTATCCTAACTCAATGACCTCCCGACGAAAACATTATCCTAACACCAGGGTTACGCGCGAAATTCTTGTCCGAAGCCATTGGGCCATTGGGCTGCGAGCGGGAGCCCTATCCTAACCCCAGGGCCCCTGGACCCCTACAAAAACCTTATCCTATCTCACTGGCCTCCCCACTAGAACCTTGCCTTAACACCAGAGTTACGCGCGAAATTCTTCTCCACATCCATATGGCTGCGAGCTATCACCTTATCCTAACCCCTGGGCCCGGCACGCAAAGACCTTATCCTAACTCAATGGCCCCCGTACGAACGCCTCATCCTAACACCAGGGTTGCGCCGAAATGTTTCTCCGAAGCCGTTTGGGCTGCGATTGAAAACCTTATCCGAGCCCCTGGGCCACCCTACGAGAACCCCCTATCCTATCTCACTGGCCTCCCTACGAACACCTTATCCTAACACCAGGGTTACGCGCGAAATTATTCTCCGAAGCCATTGGGCTGCGAGCGGAAACCTTATCCTACCCCCTGGACCTCCTTACGAAAACCTGATTCTAATTCAGTGGCATCCTTACGAAACCATAATCGTAACGCCAGGGTTACGCGCGAACTTCATCTCTGGACCCATTGGGCTGCGAGCGAAAACCTCATCCCAGCACGTGGGCCCCCTATAAAAACCTTATCCTAATTCACTGGCCTCCCTACGAAAACCTTATAAGCCTTAACACCGTATCCTAACACCAGGGGGGTGCGCGAAATTCTTCGCGGTTTGGCAAGCCAATTCGCAGTCTATCAATCTCGCAAGCGATCGCACGATCTAGCTCTGAAGATCGTACGTTCGGTCGCACAATCGATCGCACCGTCGATCTAACAATTGAACTCACCATCGATCTCACATTCCGACTCGAGTCGACGTCGCAACCGTTATCATGCTATCATGCCGCTACCGATCGCACAATCGATATCCCATTGATCTCACGATCGGTCTCACACTCGGTTTCAAAATCGATCTCACGAGCGATCTCGCCATCGATCCCACAACAGATATCACCATCGATCTCGCACCACATACCACTATCAATATCAAAATTATCCCAGTGCGACCCTACCTAGGAGTTGAAACCCCTAGGAAAGCAGCATTAGTAGTAATAGTAACGCTAAGCTACAGCTAAGCTAAAGCTAAGCTAAAGCTAAGCTAAAGCTAAGCTAAAGCTAAGCCACAGCTACGCTAAAGTTAAGCTAAAGCTAAGCTGAAGCTAAGCTAAGCTAAAGCTAAGCTAAAGTTAAGCCACATCTAAGCTAAAGCTAAACAGCTAAGCTAAAGCTAAGCTAAAGCCACAGTAAAGCTAAGGTAAAGCTAAGCTAAAACGAAGCTAAAGCTAAGCTACAGCTAAGCACAAGCTAAGCTAAAGCTAAGCTAACGCTAAGATAAACGCTAAGCGAAAAGCTAAGCGAAACGCTAAGCTAAAGCTAAGCTACAGCTAAGCTACAGCTAAGCTAAAGCTAAGCTAAAGCTACGCTAAAGCTAAAGCTAAAGCCAAAGCTCCCAGGGGACTGGGGGGAACCGCGGGGCGGGGACTGGGGTGGGGAAACCGCCCGGGGCGCTTTCCACTGCCCGGCCCTTTAAGCTAGAGAGTAAGAACTCTTCTAGGCAGAGCCTAGGTAGGAAACAACATCCACGATCGATCCCACAACAGACACCGACGGGGCACCGACGGGACACCGCGGCGGCATCGACGGGCCCACCGCGGCCCACCGCGCGCTGGGGAGGGGGGGGGGGGGGCGGGCCCACATCATCTGGCCACGGCGGCATCAGTCCTCTCGCGCGCCCGCGCAGCTTCGAGTCGCCCGCGCGCGCGACGCGAGCTCGAAACCGACGCCGATTTCCCAGTGTACGGCTCTCCGTCCCGCTGCGATCTCACCCCCTCGTCTCAGATCTACACCAATCGACAGATTCGCAGATACATCTGCAGACTGATATATATATATAGAGAGAGAGAGAGAGAGAGAGAGAGAGAGAAAGAGAGAGAGAGCAAGAGGGTAGATGCACGATCGAGAGCTCGAGGGAGAGGGAGTGGCAGAGTCGGCGAGTGGGCGACAAGGAAGGAAGATCTGAATATTGAGGCGGAGGCATGGGATGACGACTGGATGAGTTACGATAGGGGGGGAGGTAGGGTAGGGGGGGATTGGGTTCGGATGCCCGGGAGTCCTCAAGTGCAAAAAGCATGAGATTGTAACACATACCATTATCGATGCGTGGGTCATCCTGCACCTTCTTGTAGCTGCCTGGCCAATCGTACGTCAAAACCACATCTGTGTACTCGTCGTTGAAATCCACGAGTCCACCCTCCACGAGTTGTGCCATGTGGTTGCCGGAAACGAACACATCATCTGGTTTGCGTTGTAAGAACAATTGAAAATGCGTGCCAGGCGCGTGCACAATACACATCACGTCGACTACAAACCAGAACACTGGATCACTCACTGTGGACAATGCATCACGGCGCCACCGACCCAGCTTCTGGCGATATGCAACCTGCTGCTCAAGACGAGCCTCGTCAATGACACCGAGAGCGACGTCGCCAGGCCCGTCGCGATCGGCGTCGGCGATCGCCTTGACGTCGGCGTCCGTCAAGGCGAGCGCCGCTCTCAGAGCAGTCACCAGGTGCCCGTCGCAGCCGGCGCCGCCAGATGCTGACCTGGCAGGCCGACGGAAGGGCGCGCAGGCATGCACGGTCACGCAAGCGCGCGGCTAACAAGCGAGCGGGAGCCAGAGGGATCAAAGGAATGCAAACAAAAAATCGGGATAGGAGGACGAGTCTGAGGGAGGACTGGCGGGAGCGGGGCCCTGGGGAGGGGGGTGGGGGAGGGCCGGATGATGAGGAGGGGAGGGACGGACAATTAGATAGAGTAGGGGGGGGAGAGGGCATTGCAGAACCCACGCTGACCTCAGACGAGACTCGGTGGCAGAAACTGACAACCAACGCCCTGCAACACACTTGGGCGGCAACTTCAGAGCGTGCTCGCACGCGTCGGCAGCCCCGAACAGAGACGTCCACGTGCCCAGAACTTTGGCGGCAGCGTCGCGCCAACAATGGGTGATCTTGGCACACGACGAGAAATACTTCCAAGGAACACCAAGCTTACGCATCCACGCGTCTACGAGATGCAATCCAGTTTGCGTCGTCAACTGGCCAATGTGCATTAGACAAGGGATGCCAACAGCTACGATAAATTGATTCGGGGCAGCATCTACACACATGAACCGTTTGAAAACCCTCTGATCGGGCCCCCCGTCCGACGTGTACACCCACCATGACATTGAGTGGCCATCCAGGTTGGCCCAGAAAGGACAGCCGACTGACAACACCTGTTTTTTCAAGATTGCGTATGTTCCCTGAGCTGAAGCATCTCGCACGCGATGTAAGTCTGGAACCACTTCATGACACGATATGCAATCTTGAAACGGTACATGCCCAATGCTGGAATAATCGACCACATAAACTGACTTGATTTGTGTATTGTGCAGTTTTGCATTTTGCCAGACTGATGAGTTCGTTGCGTCGGACCTGAAAAAATGAGCTGATATGTGTGCACCGAAATCATCATCATATGGCCGACATGACCGTTGTGCGTGCTCTCGCAGAATGTGGAACTTCCTAGCATAACTGATCAACGAAGCCGACAAGAGACGCTCGTACCGATTCACAGTTTGACCGCTCAAGTCCTCCATCAAGAGTGAACCCACGTCGTTCGCACCGACACAACTTAGGTTCCGCCGAATCGCAGTGGCAAGCCGGGACCGGGGACACAAGAAACCCTTTGCACCGTTCGGTCGCACAAGTTCGAAAGCAGCATTGGACGGGGCAGCGCGAGAGGGTGCAGGCACGAGCACGCCACCGTCACAGTCGCTAACATCATCAGCAGACGACGGCCGCAACCGTTTGAGCTGGTGCCTCTGGATAGCGTCCTTCTGCCTGGCGCGCTGCAGCTCCTCGTCCTTCAGCACCAGCAACTGGGCGCGGCAACCGGGCGGATGGGGCGATGCGGCAACGTTGGCAACGTGAGGGATACGGGGGTGGGTGACGATGCGGGGGTGGATGCGGATGGATGGTGGAGTTAATGAGGGCACAGCACGATGAGGGAGGACGAGGACGAGGATGTGGATGGGCCAGAGGATGGGAGAGTCAGGGAGGGATAAGCTATGCGAAGCCTCTCGAGGCCGCCCGCAAGCGAACGCGAGTGGATGTGCTGCAAAAGGCGGTGCCAACTCCTATCTCCTACATCCCCATATGCTACCCCCTATCGCCTCCCACGTCCCCCATCCTATCTCACACTCGCGCTCATGTCACATGTCCCTCCCGCGGGTGCGGGTGGCCTTGGCCATGACGGTCGGGTCGAGACGCAGGTAGTCCTCCTCGGTCATCGTGGGCGCGCGCCTGCACGTGGGGCGCGCGGCACGGCACTGGGCAGCAATGACAGGTGGGACAAGGTGAACGGAGTGAACGGGGGCGGGGTTGGATGGGGAGGACAGGGGGAGTGGATTGGGACTGGGCTGGAATGTCGAGCTGATGACAAAGGACGGGAGGTACCGCATTACAACACGCACAACTGACATATTAAACAACGTCGCACACGTGTACAAATTTCCATGCAAACGTATCTACGTATACATAATACATATATATATATATACATACATACATATACATACCCGATACGATTGCCAACCCCAATGCTGTGAGACATTGTCGCAGATAGGCACGGCATGAAAAAGAAGAGTCGCGCCTGCGCACAGGTACGATCTCCGCGCTCAGCGCCGCGGGAATCGCGGCAACCATCGCTGTCTCTGGGTCGGGCGCGGGCAGCGCCACGAGAGGTTGGTGCAAGGAGGGGGCAGCAGCCAACGCGGCACGAACCTGCCTGTCCCACAAGTCAGATCGGATGTCGATCCCCCCCGCAGACAATGAGAGCATCACCACTGCCACCGGATAGTGATCATCAGAACCAGAGTCAGGCAGCCCGGGAGATCTCTCGGCCTTCCTGATGCACTGGCGGGCGCTGTCTGGGTGCACGTTGCATATATCTACAACCACTTGGAATAACGCACACTTCGGGAACAGCAGGCCGCCATCAGAACCGACGCGAGCATGAGTCGACAATGCGAGCTCCAGCTGTCGCGCGCCACTGGCCCCCAGGAAGACAGTCGGCCGCTGCGGGCCGCTGCGGCATCGCAGCATCATGGGCTGGCCAAACGGCCTCGGGCCAAACGGCCTCGGGCCAAACGGGCCGCGCCGCCATGGCCAGACCACCCACCCAACCCCCAAGACAGATGTCACGATTGATCTCACTATTGTTCACATATCAAACTATTGTTCAAATATCAACCCCAGAACTGGTACTCCATTGCACAATCGATCTCACAATCGATCACACGATCGATCTCACCATCATCTTCCCTCGTGCTACCTGCTCGCAGTTTGCAATCCATGGCAAGTGGACGACGGGATGTGAACGATAGTGAGATCGACAGCAAGGTAGTGATAACAATAGTGAGGCCGATTGTCTGATCGATACTGAGACCGACCGTGAGGATGCGCGAAGGAAAACTGATGATTGCGATGGTGGTGACGACTGCCGAATCTGTCGTATATAATTGCTATCATGGGTATGCGAAATCCCAGGGTTTGGGGGGGAGTCCAGATTTGTTGATCGGGTGCGGTGCCCCCCTCTATGTTACATCACCCCCCCTATGCAGTCGCCCCACGACGTGTGCGCAATCGTCATCAGCCCCGCTGCTTTGGTAACGGCCGCGATCGCCACCCTCCGTGGTCTCAGATCGATCCCCAACCACCGCCCGCCAACCGGGGAGGGGGGGCGCAGTTCTGTCCATCGGCGTCCTGGCCAGATGAAGGCCCATTCTTCTCGCCCGCCCACGCAGCTGCGTCTCGCCCGCGCGCGCGACACAAATGCGAAACCGAAACCGCACTTCGATATCACCCCCTCATCTCCGACAAATTGTTAGACCAAAACGCTAAAAATGTAGTTGGTTGCACGGGCTAGTTGGACCCCGGTACATCGAATGTGAGGGTAGCCGAAGACGAGGTCGCGCGCTACACAGTCAACGCCACTGGAAAATTATAACCAAAATGTTTAGAATACAAAATAAATGACAAAGAAAACACGAATACACAGCCAACGCCACTGGAAAGTTAGAACCCACATGTTTAAAACGTATATGTAAAATACTAGAAAAAACAAGCAACAACCTTATAATTCCATGCGCGCAGAGACAGCCGCGACGCCGATCACAGGCCACACGCGTAGAAAAAATAGTCAAACATCTTAAATTTGGTAAGCAACTTGCTAATTTCATTAGATGGCTAGTTTATCTACATCATGTGAACTCGCTAGGGAAACCATAAGGCCCTAGGGGGGGCAGACCATTCTGAGGAAGCAAAAGTGGTCACTTCCTACTTTGCGCGGGCGCAACATGGCCAGAGTTGGAGATACACACGCCTTGATCTTCAGGATGGCAAGGCCACCGTTGCCAATGCCGCCGAAGTCGTCTAGGGCCTGCCACGCCCTCTTCCAGACGCAGCCCCATGCAGCAGCGGCCTTCGCAGTGCCAGCGGGCCCTCTTTCCAGGAGCCCCTTCGCGGCGCACGCCGCGTCGAAGGCAGCCGTGATCGGGGGGGGGGGGGCTGGGCTTGAGGATCGCCGGCAGGCCGAGGAGCTCGGCGCCGTCGATCGACTGCAGCGGTCCTGGCAGCGGCGCCCCCAGCGCCTTGATCGCCGATTTGGGGACAGGATTCCAATCGGCTCCACCGCGCTGCAGCTCGTCGATTCCGCAGGCCGACGCTGCCAACGATAGCCCAGCCTCGTAGACCGCACCGTCCGAATAGAGCGTAGCGTTCGCGAAAGGGGATCAGTCGCCGCCCATGATCCACTGCGCGCGCGCGAGCAGGCCGTCGCCAGGCGGCCGCCGCTGGCGCAGTGGCTCTGGCAGCAGAAGTCGCTCTAGGAGCGCGCGGATCGTCGCGCCGTTGCCGAAGGGGACGAGCCTCGCAATCTCCGCAGGCAGAGCGAAGGAAGGCCAGCTGCCCTCGCAGCCTGTGCGCCGATAGCAAAAAGTACCAGGCTCGCAAGGGTGTAGTGGGCAGCGCGGCGAGCGCGCCAGCCTGGGCGCCTCCGCGTAACGCCTGTCGTTCGGCCACTGGCCGTTCACCACCACTGAGCGAATGTAGCCCCGCTGGTCGTTGCTGAGCGGCCCCCGCTTCCCCGCCTGGTGAGTGCTACCGCGTCCGTTGCAAACCCAACGCCTGATGCGAGACATGAAGGCGCCGTGAACAATGCCCTCATGAGTGGACTCGGCCACTTGCTGAAGCTGCCATGCCTTCACGTCTGCCGTGAGCACCTGCTTGCAGTACCGGGGTGAGGCCTCCAGCAGGTTATTGACGTCGCCGTTCGGCCTGATGATCTGGTCGAGGGCCCTGGGATCGTAGCCAACCCTGCGGAGCGCCATCGCCATCGCTCCAATCGGCCCACGAACCTGCGGCCAGGAGCTGACGGCGCCCGCTGCCCAAGCGAACGCGGGCCGCAGTTGGTTCAGAGGTATCGAAGCTTCCCAGATCGCCCTGGCAAAGGTGAAGCAAGGGGCCAAGGTCGTAGTGAAAATAGGATCGATGGTCACGGAACCACTGGTCAGCAAGCGTGCCGTGAGCGACTTGCCCTGAGGCCTGGGCTCGATCGCGTAGGAACAGACGCACATAAAACATAGCGGATTGGAACCGCAAGAGAAGGGCAGTCTATAGGAACACGCGTAAAACACCAAGGACTCGTGCCAAAGGGGAGGCCCATCATATAGGAACATACGTAACACATTTAAGATTGTATACACAGGAGAAGGGCAACCTATCTAATTCTATATATATTTATAAATATATGTATATACATAACATACGTATAGCATCAAGGATTCGCGCTCCAGTTGAGGCCCAATCTGTAGGAGCATACGTAAAACACATGGGATTGGAGCCACTCCTGTTGCCTTTTCTGAGGCCTCCTGCTCCTGGGGCCTCTCGGGGCCTCCTGTTGCCTGGGCCTCCTGGCGCTTCCTGCTGCCTTCTGTGGCCTTCTGAAGTCTCCTAGAGCTTCCTGGGGCCTCCTGGAGCCTCTTGGGACATCCTGTGGCCTCTTGAATCTTCCTGTGGCATCATGATGCCTCCTAGGACATCATGTGGCTTCCTGGGGCCTCCTGAAGCCCCCTGTGGCATCCTGGGGAGAATATGCGCCCGCGAGTCTGGCCACCAAAACAAGCAAACCGATCGAGACATCCTCAAAATCTGGCCCCCCTGGGGGGCGAAAGTGGACGCCTCGCTCGAGACATCCTCCAAATCTGCTCCGGAAGCGGGGGATGTCAAGGGCCGAAGCCTGCAAACCGCCTAAAACATACCCGCCATTTGGGCGCGAACGGACGCCGCGCAATGCCCCGGGCGCCCCCCTTTAGGAGGGGCCTCGCGCGAGACATCCTCAAAATCTGCTCCGAGAGCGGAAGATATTGGGAACCAAAACAAGCAAACCGCCTGAGACATCCCCACCGTTTGGGCGCGAACGGAAGCCGTGCAATACCCCCGGCGGCCCCGCCCTAGAAGTGCTAAAACCAGCAATCCGTTCGAGACATCCTCCTCATCTGCTCATCATCGTCATCATCATCATCATCACCATCAACATCATGATCATCATCGTACTCATCCATCATTCATCATCACCATCATACTCACATCATACTCTCATCACACCATGGTCATCACCATGACAATCATCATCATTGCATAGTGCAGAGAGGGAGGACAGGGGGGGTGGCACGGGCGGTCCGGCGCGATCGGAGAATTATTCACTGCGTGGAGCCCCCATGTGCGCATCTATTCGCATGGGCCCGTCCGGCGCAAGAGTCTAGGCGCGAGAGCTTTCGAATTTAGGCGGGCTTGAGTCGCGACGGTCTATTCGTGAATGTAACTTCGAACGGATTGGAGCGCGAACGAGTCTCGGCAGTGCGAGCGCGTCTCTGCGCATGAGCCTGGGGCCTACTGGGGCTTCCAGAAACCTCCTGGACCTTCCCGGGGCCTCCAAGACCCTCTTGGGGCCTCCTGGGGCTTCGAGTGGCCTCCTGAAGCCTCCTGGAGCCTCCTGGGACCTCCTAGGGGGTATTCCTGCCCCAGGAGAAGCCCAATCTATAGGACCATACGTACATAAAACGTTGCGGATTGAAGCCGCAGGAGAAGGGCAGTCTATAAGTGCACGCGTAAAACGCCAAGGACTCGCGCCCTTTTTATTTAGCTGTGTCCTCGGCTCGCGCGGCGCGAGCTCGGTCCTGGGTTGGCTTCAGGGTGTGCGCCGTCACCAGGGGCGCCCGCGCGGGGCACCCACTTGGCCGTGCCAGCCCCGAACGGGGCCAGACCACCGAAGGCGCTCCCCTTGACACCGCCGCTACCGCGGAGGCCGAGGCTGACGAATGCTCGGCTTGCTCTACTGAGGTCTGCGGCATCACCTGGGGCACCCCCGCGGGGCACCCTCCGGGCTGCGCCACCCTCCAAAGAGGGCAGTCCACCGAAGCCACTCCCTCAGGAGCAAAGGCGGAAGGAGCCACCAGGCGCAAGGCGCGCCACCCGCGAGCGCGGGCTAAAGGGCGCCGGCAGGCCTCCAGCTCACGGACCCCAGCATCTGCCGAAGCTGCTCGCTGAGGCGAGGCTCGCAGTCAGCCGCCTGGCGAAGGAAGCCGTCGGCCACCAAGAAGACCTCCTCAGGGCCGACCACCGAGGCCGCAGCTCCGCCTACAGCAGGCACCGCCACCGCGAGCGCCACACTCAGCTCCGCCGCCGCCTTCGCCCGAGGACGCCTGGGCCCGCGCCGCCGCCGCGCGGCACCGTCGGCCTGACCGTCGCACCCGAGGCCCAGCGGTAGCACCAGCAGCTCCTCCAGCTCCGCGAGCTGGATCAGCCGCCTCCGCCGCGGCAGCGGCCCCGTCCGAGGGAGGCGGGCGGGCCTCCGCAGCGGCCGCCACCGCCCCACCATCGGGGAATCGCACGAGCCCGTCGGCCCATGCGTCGTCGAAATCCTCCATCTCCGCGTCGGCAGCCTCCGCCTCCGCAGCGGCCACGGGGGCGAGCGCGAGGCCCGCACCAGCAGCGGCAGCAGCGGCTCCAACAACCTGCCCAGCGCCCTCGCCTGCGGCTGCAGGGGGCGCCGCGGCGGCTTTCCGCGCCGCGCGGCGCTGTCGGCGGCGCCGACGCCGAGCGGCGAGCGCCGTCGGGTCGGCCGCAGCAGCACCTGCGTGGCCCGGAACACCAGGACAAGGAACAGGAGGTGGCGCCCCGGCGCCAGCGGCGGCGACGGGCGGTGGCGGCGCCGCGGCGGCGAAGGCCGCCGCCGAGACCGCTGACCGCGCAACCTCCGCCACCGTGCGCCTCGGCGCCCCAAGCGCCCCGCGCACAGCTGCCTCGACGAGGCGGGCAGCCGTCACGGGATCCAGAGCCCCTCTAGGCAGCGCCATCACACGGACGGAGGCGCGGCCGTGCGAACGCTTGAGCCAAAATGTTGGGACTCGTGCCCCAGGGGAGGCCCAATCTGTAGGAACTGACGTAAAATATTTAGGATTGTGTACACAGGATAAGGACAATATGTCTACATACATCTCTCTCTCTATATATATTTATATATATGTTTATATCTATAGATACATATATATACACATACATATATATAGAAACATACGTATAACATCAAGGATTCGTGCTCCAGGTGAGGCCTAATCTATAGGAGCACACGTAAAACACCTGGGATTGGAACCAGTCCTGTTGCCTTTTGAGGCCTCCTGCTCCTGGGGCCTTTCGGGGCCTCCTGTTGCCTGGGCCTCCTGGCGCTTCCTGTGGCCTCCTGGGGCCTCCTGTGGCTTCCTGAGGCCTCCTGGAGCTTCCTGGGGCCTCCTGGAGCCTCTTGGGACATCCTGTGGCCTCTTGAATCTTCGTGTGGCCTCCTGATGCCTCCTGGCACCTCATGTGGCCTCTTGGGGCCTCCTGAAGCCTGCTGGAGCCTCCTGTGGCATCCTGGGGAGAATATGTGCCCACGAGTCTGGCCACCAAAACAGGCAAACCGATCGAGACAACCTCAAAATCTGGCCCCCCTGGGGGGCGAAAGTGAGCGCCTCGCTCAAGACATCCTCCAAATCTGCTCCGAAAGCGGAGGATGTTGGGGAGCAAAACCGGCAAACCGCTTAAAACATACCCGCAATTTGGGCGCGAACGGAGGCCGTGCAATACAACTGGCGGCCCCCCCTTAGGAGGCACCTCATCCTCCAAATCTGCTCCGAAGACAGAGGATGTGAGGGACCAAAACAGCAAAACAGACAATCCGCCTGAGACATCCCCACCATTTGGGCGCGAACGGAGGCCGTGCAATACCCCTGGCGGCCCCCCTTAGGAGTGCTAAAACCAGCAAGCCGCTCGAGACATCCTCTTCATCTGCTCATCGTCATCATCATCTCATCTGCTCATCGTCATCATCATCATCATCATCATCATCATCATCAGCAGCATCAGCATCAGCATCAGCATCAGCATCAGCATCATCATCATCATCATCAGCATCATCATCATCATCATCATCAGCAGCATCATCATCATTATCATCATCATCATCATCATCATCATCATCATCATCACCGTCATCATCATACTGATCCATCACTCACCATCACCATCATACTCACATCATGCTCTCACCATACCATGGTCATCATCATGGTAGGTGGTCCGGCGCGGTCGGATAATTACCCTTTCTATACATGTGGCGATTCTACTCAGGACCACTCAATGCTGACTGGCATTCTGAAGAACCCGCAGTGCGCAAGAAGAGCACCCAACAGTGATTTCAGAAGAGCGCAGCAAGAAGAGGAACGGCAACTATACAAATTGGAAACCCAGGGGCGTTGAAAGAAACGCGTATGACGTACCTCCGAATGATCCAGGTGGGACGTACCTCCGCTGGGCCTCCCAGGAGCCCACGAAAGTGGCGACAGTTGCGCAGATCGCAAGCCCCCCAGGGGGCGGCGAGGTCCCGAGGTGATCCGCGTGGGACCCACCTCCGCTGGTCCTCCCAGGAGCCCACGAAAGCGGCAACAGTTGCGAAAATCACAAGCCCCCCAGGGGCGGCGAGGTCCCGAGCTGATTCGCGTGGGACCCACCTCTGCTGGGCTTCCCAAGAGCCCACGACAGTGGGGTTTACCCCTCCCCCTCCCCCCTCCCCCTGGGCCTGGAGAGGGCGCCCCGCGGGTGGTTGGAGGGGTCTTTTTCGACTCCTGGGAGGGCTAAAATTCGACACCCCTCACGAGGATTCTGGCCCCGACGAGGGGAGGCAGAAAAATGCTCGCCTCTTCTTTGAAGCCAAACTCATTGATTTTACTACGGTTTTGGCCCCATTTTGGCCTTCTGAGGGGGCAGCGCTAATTAAAGCTTCCCTCTTCTTTCAAGCCAACATCATTGATTTTACTACGGTTTTGGCCCCCATTTTGGCCTTCTGAGGGGGCAGCGCTAATTAAAGCTCCCCTCTTCTTTGATCGATTTCCTCCAAGATGGCCCCAAGAAGCGCCCAGGAGGCACCAAGAGGCCCCAAGATGGCCCCAAGAGGCCCCCAGGAGGCCCCCAAGAGGATCCCAAACGGCCCAAAGAGGCCCCCCCGAGGCACCCAAGACGCCGAAAAGCCCATCAGGACGACCCTCTACTCGCCTGGGCGTCGTTTCTGGACGGGCAGGAGGAGGGGCCCGAACGACTCACACCAGGACGAGGGGCCCGAACAACTCACACCACGAGAAGCCCGAACGACTCACACCAGGACGAAGAGCCCGAACGACTCACACCACGAAGAGCCCGAACGACTCACACCAGGAAGAAGGGCCCGAACGACTCACACCAGGACGAGAAACCCGAAACGACTCAAACCACGAGGAGCGCTTTCTCTCCCTCCTCCTCCGCCTCGTCCTTCTCCCGCTCCCACCACAAGGAGGATGTACAAGGAGGCGGGAGGAAGGAGGAACAGGGGAGATATGCGGGGGCAAGCGGAAACACGCCTGAAAAACACGACTGTCGGCATGCTTCGCAAAAGTTGCTGTTGTGAGATGGGCTGGTGGGGATACGCGAAGCGTAAAGAATAAATCTAGCGCGGTGTAACCCTAACGGGCGGGTCGGGACCGTCGGGTCGGCACGTACGGGCTGGACGGGAAGGGTCGGGGCGATGGACCCTAACGGACGGGTCGGGTCGGGTCTGGCAGGCCGACCCTAACGGGCAGGTCGGGTCGGGCGGGCGGGACACCAAAATGCAATGCGTAATGATACTAGCACGATGTAACCCTGACGAGCAGGTAGGGACGGGCGGGCCCTAACAGGCGGGCCGGGTCGGTTCGGGCGGGCGGACCGGGTCAGTTCTGGTGGGCGGGACATGAAAACGTGGCGCATTATAAAATTTGCACGATGCACCCCTGACAGGCGGGTCGGGACGGGCCGGCGGCACCAACAGGCGGGGCGGATCGGGTGGGGCGGGCGGACCCTACCAAGCGTGTCGGGTCGGGTCGGGCGGGCGGACTCTTACGGGCGGATCCGTTCGGGCGAGAAGGGGCATGCAAGTGTGGCGCAGCATAGAAGTAGCGAGATGTAATCCTGCCGGGCGGGTCGGGGCGAGCGGGCCGACCCTGACGGGCGGGGCGGGATCCCAACGGGCGGGTCGGGTCGGGTCGGGCGGGTGGACCCTGACGGGCTGGTCGGGCCGGGCGGCCCCTAACGGGCGGGGCAGGGCGGGCGGGCGGGGCATTCAATGTGGTGAGTAATAGGTCTAGCACGATTCAGCGCTGACGGGCGGGTCGGGACGGGCGGGCGTACCCTAATGGGCGGGCCGGGTCGGCTCGGGCGGGCGGACCCTGACGGGCTGGTCGGGTCGAGTCGATGGGAGGGGGGACGGGTTCACGAGTTTTTGGGGACCCAAGAGAAGGGCCCAAAACAAAACAGTCACAAACGAGCACCAAGTAGGTTGTGCAATCGCACGCCATGATTGGGGCCCTTTGGGGCTCCTCCTGGGCTCCCCTTGGGGCGCTCTTGGAGCCTTCTCGGGGCCTTCTTGGGGCCATCCAGAGCTAACCCCGATGCTCCAGAATGACCCCACGGTGTCTCCAAGAGTGTTCAAGTGCGGCGTGCACTTGCACGCCATACTTGTGGCCCTCTGGGGCTCCTCCTAGGGCCCTCTCGGGGCTCTGCTGGCCCTTCTGGGGCCCTCTCGGGCCTCTCGGGGCCTTCGCGGGACCGCTCCGAAACTCCAACACGACCCCAAGTGGGCCCACAGACAGGCTGCCCAGAGGCCCACGACACGCCTGTGCACAGCCAGTGCACAGCCTGTGCACAGCCTGTGCACAGCTTGTGCACAGGCCTGTGTATAGTAGGCCTGTCGCGGAGCGCCGGCACCCGGAGAGGCTTCCCAGAGGCCCACGACAGGCCTGTGCACAGCGTGTGCACAGGCCTGGGGTAGGCCTGTGCGCAGCCTAAGAATAGGTCTGTCGCGGAGCGCTGGCCCCCAGAAGGCTTCACACGGGCCCACGACAGGCCTGTGCACAGCCTGTGCACAGGCATACCACCTGTGTATGTGCCTGTCGCAGAGCGCCAGACCCCGAAGAGGGTCCCCAGAGGCCCGCGACAGGCCTGCACACAGCCTGTGCACAGCCTGTGCACACGCCTGTGCATAGGCTGTGCATGGGCCTGTCGCGGAGCGCCGGCCCCCGGAGAGGCTTCCCAAAGGCCGGCGACAGGCCTGTGCACAGGCCTGTGGTAGGCCTGGGCACAGGTCTTGAGTCGGGTCTGTGCATAGGCCTGCACATAGGCTTAAGTCGGGCCTGTCCTCCGACAGGGGGATTTTGAACGAAAAATAACAAATGGTCAAACATACACCAAAATGGCACACAAATATTCTAAAGATTGTCTCCAGAATATGTTTTGACTGTTTTTGAATATTCCTCCTGTAGAGGGACAGGCCCGACTTAAGCATAGGCCTGTCGCAGAGCGCCGGCCGCTGGAGAGGCTCCCCAGAGGCCCACGACAGGCCTGTGCACAGGCTGTGCACAGGCCTGTAGTAGGCCTGTGCGCAGCCCATGCAGAGGCCTGTCGCAGAGCGCCGGCCCCTGGAGACGCTCCCCAGAGGCTCAGAGTCCCACGACAGGCCTGTGCACATCATGTGCACAAGCCTGGGGTAGGCCTGTGCACAGGCTGTGCGTGGGCCTGTCACTGAGCGCCGGCACCCGGAGAGGCTTCCCAGAGGCCCACGACAGGCCTGTGCACAGCCTGTTCACAAGCCTGTGGTAGGCCTGTGCGCAGCCTAAGCATAGGCGTTTCGCGGGGCGCCGGCCCCTGGAGAGGCTCCCCAGAGTCCCTGT